GATATTCTGCCCTTTAAACATGTGTGATCTATATCTGGTCTTTCTAATCCCAACATACACAACTTTGTTTTTCTATAACTGGTGGAAGAAAAGTTCCAGCTATCCCTGATTTGTGTGTGGCCCTTAAGAGGAGAGAGCATTTAAAATAAATAAATGAAATAAAAGTAGATATTTGATTTTGAAATTTGTTGCCAGTGTTGACTCAATAATGACTTCATGTCAACTCTTTTTGCTAGGAAAGGCTACACACACACACACACACACACACACACACACACACTATTAAGGGAATTCCCAATACTATGTTTGAGCAAAGGGGAATGCAAAGTTTAGGAGTTAACCAAATCTGACCAACTTTTCACCCTGAGTTCTGTTTACAGACTCTTTAGCTCACATGGTCAGAAAGAGACAAATATAGCTGGTCTTCCTTTGATCTGCAGTGAGTTTGGCTTTCCATGCCTGGCACAATGGTGACATTTAAGAGGCAAAGGGATAAAATTATTTTCATTCCAGCCTTTTAAACATGGTGAAAACTTTAAAACAGCTCTGGCCAAATCTAAGTTGGATCAAAACAGGCTATTTCTTTTCTAAGTTCCTCTTCTTACAATACTGGGTATTTATAAAAGTATAAATAGTTAAGCATGTCCATTCCCCTCATCCATCTTGTCTGGTAAGGACTGATTTGACCTTATTGGGAGGACAATGGATAAGGAAGAATTGCCATCAGATACAACCCAAAGCAGGATGAAATGGGCTTTGTTTACAGATTTGTAAATAAATCTCTGTCACTTTGCAAAAAAAAAAAAAAATCACAATAATTTTGAAAACAATTAGGCTTATAAATAAAAAAAAACAAAACAAACCCTTGTTTACCCATCTAGTCATTTGTCCCTCAACATTGTGTTGTCTAAATCACCCAGATTCTGGCTGCCTCACCTGTAACTCAGTCTCTGAATTGGAGAGCTGAGAAGTTAGAACAGCTAAGGGAACTGAAGGCAAATCTAGAAATTACTCATTTAAGCACCTCATCCATTTCAGAAGGAAAGGTCTCCTTCCTCCACATCAACCCTCTGTCCATTTCTACCACTCTTGAAGAAAACTAAGGAGTTGAGAGGATTTGAAGTGTACTGAGCGCACACAGGCAAAGCCCTCCGTCTGTGAGATTGCCTAACAGACACAGACCCATAGACACAAGCTTGTGTGGCCTATCAGCACAAGTTCGGATCTACGGGTTTGTGGCAACAGGCCTCAGTATCTTCTCTCGTGTGGGGGTTTGACATGTCTGAAAACAAAACGTTAAAACCATTAGTCCAACTGTAGAGTCTGCCATTCTGTGTTGTATTTTATTTTGTTTTGTTTTTTGCTAGAGATGGAAAGACTTCATTCTGTTCTTGAAATAGCAAAAGTTAAGCAGCATCTCATCTGTTCTTCCCCACACACCTTCCTTTGTGTTCACTTCCCCCACAGGTAAACCTCGTCATATGTTTAATAATATGGAGGTCTCTTTATTCAGTCCTTAACACACGATCTGGACAAAGTAATACCAGTACAGTAAATGAGCAGAATAAGGAAAATTCTTTAAATTAGAGAGAGAGAGTGAGAAAGAGAGAAAGAGAGAGAGAGAGAGAGAGAGAGAGAGAGAGGAGAGAAGAGAGAAGAGAAACACAGCAAGTTCATTCTTTTAAATACCTATAATTACATGAAAAAGGATGGTAACATTTTCCTTTTCCATTTGTATTTTGGAAAACAACTGGAATAAGCTACCAGCAGGTTCCTAAGTATTTTTTGAAAACTATTCTACAGGAGATTTCCAATTACATTAAATTGAAAGATTCATTTTCCAAAAATGTCTTTATTTTTGTTTCCATCCTACCTTCACTCCCACCATCACTATTCATCCAACCACCAATACTGAGGAAATCCAGGTACAGCTTATAAAATTTGAATGAGAAAAAAAATGTATAAGTCTTTTCCCCAAACAGGTCAAGGGTATGGGAATAATCTGTTTCCATAGTGGAACTATGAGTGTCCTGGTGGACTGTGGTGTGGTAACAACACCTGAAGAGGGAGATTCTATACCTTTTGGTCATATACAACCATGTGAGCCAATATTATGTCAACTAAAAAAGGGATTTCATTTATGTCAACATAACATCCTTTTGTTAAAACGCATGTTCCACATCTAAGAAGTGCACATCCAATAAGATAAACTTACATTTTTGGCTCCTCTTGCAAACTTTATTGAAGGTACAGTCTTAAGCATTAGTGCTTCAAGGATGTAGATGAGAAGTGAAATAGTATCCCCCATACATGTTGGGAAAAACAAACACATCTATCCCTTTGCTGGGCCTAGGAAATAGTGTTTATTTTTGTAAGCAATGACTATAAATCCTGGTTCTCAAAAAAATTACCTCCTTTGTGTCAAAATATGAACATACACTTCTTTATCAAGAATCTTGGAGGCTTGGGCCTCCCTGGTGATGCAAGGGGTTGAGTCTCAGCACTATGAAGCTACTGGCAGCCACTGCAGCATAAGTTTGATCCCTAGCCAGGGAGCTAACCTACATGGCACAGCAGAGCTCTCCCGTCTCACCCACTGCTCTGCTCAGCAGTGTATTTCAGTCAATCCACCTGTTCTTCTCCCCACTCTGTCTCTGGTGAATCCTCTCACCCTCCACATCTCTGACCTGTACCCCAGTTCTTTCATGCATAAATAAATCTTTAAAAAAATCTGGGAGGCTCTCCTAAAAATACGAAAGACATCTAAAAGTTAGGGCTTATTCAGAGCAAACAGCAGGCCCTTTGGTGTACAACCGAACAGGTGAAAGCAAGAGAATGAGAAACCAAAAGTAGGACCAACAGGAACAGAGAAGACACCATTTATAGACACTTCACTTTCTGCCTGTTTCATCATGACCGTGCTGTGGCTCCATTGCTGGGAACCTTCTGGTGCTTTAAAGGTTGCCAAAACCAAGTATTTGGTTGCTGTTCTGGAGCTTGATGTTTAGATCCAAAGAAACAATACCATGTGGAAATAAGCAAGATTGAAATCAGTCACCTCAAAATGATCTTTATTAAAAAATGCTCATTTCCTTTCTAAAAGAAAGGATTTTAAAATTAACTCCAAGTGTCTTTCTTTGATCTCTCCGACAAAGGCACAGGGCCAGAGGTATTTAAGGATGGGCACTTTGAATACCTCTAAGGATTGCTCTAACGTGTGTGACAGAAAAGCTCTTATTAAAATGGAAAAGGATAGGTTCAGGTTCCTAAAGTGATGAGAACTAATCATTAGGATCATGTTAATTAAAAAGACATAATGCAACATGTGTTAGCAATGGAGGAAAGTCTTTCAAAGTGTTACATCTAGTATTTGAAGTTGCACCATAAGTTGCACCTCATAAGTTGCACCATACTGTGTTTCAATTAGTAGCAATTGTCCTTTTTTTGGCAAATACAGGACAGGGAGAAGTTACTCATTTTAAAGAGTTTGAGTGTTAGCTTCCAATTCACAGTTTTAGTTTTTGAAAGTTAAATAGAAACCAGAGGATACATAGGCTACAGAAAAAGAAAGAAGAAAGAGGATCAAACAATGACCTAGTAAAAGAATGGTTTGTCCACTATGGAGAGCTGTGTGGAGATTTCTGGACCTACTAAACATAGAGCTTCCATATGATCCAGCAATTCCACTCCTAGGTATTTACCCAAAGGACACAGAAGCATCAATTCCAAAGAACACCTGCACCCCTATGTTTATAGCAGCACTGTTTACAATAGCTAAGCTTTGGAAACAGCCCAAATGCCCAAAAATAGATGACTGGATCAAGAAGACGTGGTACATATATACCATGGAATATTACTCAGCATTCAAAAAAGATAAACACATGCAATTTGCAGCAACATGGATGGCGCTGGAAGGGATCATGCTCAGCGAAATAAGCCAAAAAGAAAAAGAAAAATACTGGACGGTCTCACTCATAGCAGGAATCTAGAAAACTTAAATAAGGGATCAGGAAAATGAATAACTATAAGAAAGTGAAAATCAAAATCAACAAAAAACTATGAACCAGAGACACTTTTTGGGGGGTGGGGGCCGGGAGGGGAGGGATTGGGGTCAGAATGGGGCACGTGCAGTTGTATGGGGGAATATAAAAATAAAATTTATTATTAAAAAAAAAAAGAATGGTTTGTTTGGGAATAGACATTTTCCCTACAATGTTAGTTGAATCCCTTAAAAAAATCTCCTTTGTGTTGAGGAGGAAAATGGGGGTTCTATTCAGTGGAAATCTTGACTTCCTTTATTATGTAAGATTGTGTGGGGCTCTCTTGGCAGTAGTAATACTAATAATGAAGTTGGAAAATACAGACTGATGTCAGCAAGCAATGGTGAACACCAGGTAATTTATCAAGCAAACGTATTATTTATGTTAGTAAATATTTTAATGGCACAAAGTCCTTTAATAACACTAAATGGAAACTACCTATAACATGACAGCTGTTTCAAATCTCACTCAGTCACTGGACAGGTCTGGGGACAGTTCCATAAAATGCCAAGGAGGTTCATCAATCTAGGACTAGAGTCCAAGCCTCGGGGTTGGTATGCCATGTGTGTCAGCCCAGCCCTCTCTTCCAGGAATTCAGACCACATTGTAGACTTTTTAGAGACAATCCTCTAATATTTACATTTTAAAATTCAATTCCCCAAGATAGCCACAGAGTTAAAGAAGAGTACTTGGTGATTTCAAATGAGTTCTGCCTAAGTTACTGTCCAAAGGAAGTAAGCACTGGTACAATAACTTTCAAATAATTTTCTGGAGGCCACAGACTGGAATGTCCCAAGTCTCTACTTATTGACTGTCAATGTTACAAAACTGGTTGCTGTGTTCAAGAAACTCCAGTGTAAAATGCAGTTATTCTTCATCATTAAATGAAATCATTCATGTGTACCCCCCAAATCTTGAGGAAATGGAAGGTTTAGGGAAATGATAGGAAAATACCATTACCTGCAAAAGGAACTTCTTAAGAGTCCTATTTTTTTAAACCCGCTGCTATCTTGTTAGGCCAAAATCCGCACCCATTCGCCTGGGTCTGGAAAATAAAATAATTGTCAATGGATCAGGATTCTCTGTCTGTTTCTTGGTTTCTTTTGGTCATCTGATTCCTTTGTAAAGCTAAACTGAAATAAAGGTAATTCTGGAAAAGCACTGGGAAGCATTATATTTACTTCATTTCCAGAACTATACACGACAGAAAGATTCTGCAAATAAGAAACTTTCGAATTTGTTCTGGAATTTCCCTGGCTACCGATGGGCCTTGAGAATGATTTTACCAGAAAAATCATCAAATCAGAATGTGAAGTCTCGGAATACTTCCAGATTCCAATGTTTTATACCAAACTAAGCATGATTAAGAGATAGACTATCAATAAGTAAGAATGGTTATGGCATAATCAAGTTGGGCAGTCATTACCTGGCATGACGAAGCATCGTCGAGACATCTTTTCAACTTTCATATTCGGAAATGATTTGGGAGTCATTATTCCTTTTTGTTGATGGGCTGTTAAAAAGAAGTGAAATGTCTGATTGTGGTGGATTCATTGAGTCTATCCCCCTTCTACCACAGCAGGATTCCTGGCTTCTATTCCAACATTCTGTCACTGCCCATGTTTTAGACACAAGGTTTGCTTGTCCTTCATTGTTCCTTTACTAATGGAAGGCAAACTCACCATGCAGCTGCTTGCAAAAGGGAAAATATATCTGAGTTTTGCCTGGTTGTGAACCTGAACACCAAATCCACAGTGATGTCTGCAGGAAGACACCGACAGGAAGATTTCTGCTTTCCACCCTCCTGTTTTTTGTGTGAAGATGTACCTTCTGTTCAGAATCTCAGCAGACTTCCTCTGTCCCAAAGGATAGAGTAATTCAACTGGACAACTTTTCATGAAGGAGAGGGAGGGGAGAGAGAGAAAAAGAAATAAGAGACTGAGTAAGGAAAAGAAACAAAAGAGTAACAAAGAGGGGGGGGGGCTGAAGAGAGGAGGTAGGGAAGCAGGAGGAGGGAGGGAGGGAGAGAGGGAGAGGGAGAGAGAGAGTATTCAGATCTTTGATCACCCTGACATCATGGAGCAGGAAAGAAAGGTCGTCTATGATTTTTCAATATTCCTGATCTCTTTTGCTCTCACCCTCTGTAGCCTTTAGTGGTGGTTTGTTTATTTTTGTAGAACGATCCAATCACTTCAACAAAAGAGGCACATCCAGCAATTACTGCCCCACAAGTAATTTACCAGTTCCACAAGTCACCCCACTTTATCCACCTGCATCTCCCTGCAAGGGTTCCAGACCCCAGCGTGGGAGCACCTCTCACCTGCCAGCTAGTTTAGGTAGAATTAATTCTTCTTCACCCAGGAAAAAGTGGCCAGTGGGGAGTGGCGAGAGAGGAGACTGGCAAAGCAACACCATGCTTTTTGTGTTCCTTTCAGGCAAAGGGAAAATTAGAAATGAATGCTTATAATCTTCCTACCACACACTCCCTGTATTAAGAAAATAAATATTTTATGCAAAATGAACAATGAACTCATGGCTAGGTGGAATCCAGAGCAAAGACAGAAGTAAGGGCATGAGAGAGTAAGACAGATTAGAAGCAAACAAAGGCTGCCCTCAGATCATTGGAGTAGTGGGCCTTATTTTTAACTTAAAAAAATGTTCACTTACAACAGATGTACAGCAGAGATCAGCTATTTAAGAGCAAGAATTTGGAGGCAAATTTTCTTTTGACGCACCCCATGAAACAGAAGAGAAAGAGGTTACCAGTAACAAGTTGTTTGGAGTGCAGCTGGCTAAGGACCTACTTTCACTTTTGAAAGTAGTTAAGTTTGCTCAAGATGACAACTTTTCTTCCTTTTTCAAAGGCAAACAATGATGCTAGCCTACAGCTTCCTCTCTAGCTATACTGTTAATAAAGCCAGGAAGGTTTTGAAAAGAATTACAGTTTTAAAAGTATCGATGACCCCAATACTGACATGGAGACAGGAGATACATATATTTTACAAAAATCATGTCTGTCCTGTTTTGAATGTAAATGAACTTCAGGCTGCACAGAACTACCCAGATGCCCATCAGCATGAACACATCTATTCAAAGATGCATTTTGATCTTGAGAAAGTATTCCACGTTAGATTTGAAAGCTACCAACGGAGTGGAGGTTGGGGTGTCTTGGGGAAGAATTGGAGATGATGTCGTTTGGAGCCTGTGACATGAAAGACACCTAACACGTCAAAGAGTCTTTAGAACCTTGGCTGTGTGGCAATGGGATTCTTCTGTGGGAAAAGTACAAAAGAGCCTGGAACCTTCACCATGTTACCAGAAGCAGTACCCAGCACTCAAGAAACTAAGTTCAGCTGAAACAGAAAGACCTTTGCCTCACAGGCTGCAGATCAGCTCAAGAGGAAGCATCTCAATAGCTGCAGCTCCCTCTGCCCTGCCCCAAGGAGAGGGCTCCCCAGGTCCCCTGATTCCCTTACCTCCTTCTTGCTTTGGAAAAACAACAAAACAACCAAATAACACGTGAAGCTTGAAAGGAAAAAAAAAAGTATACATTGATACTGTCCTCTTCATGCTTTCAACTTTTCCAAAATTCATCTTGATCTGTTTTTGCTTTCCGGTCCTTTACCTTCCCTAATGTTCTTGCTCTCTCCCTGCCCTCATACTGCCCACGCCCCAACCTTTTTCTCTCCCTGGCCCTCCTTTATTCTCTCTCTCTCTCTCTCTCTCTTTCTCTCTCACACACACACACACACACACTCCTGCTTGGTCCAATCTGGTGCCTGCTTCACAATAACAGAACGACAAGCAACATCTGTTTGTAAAAGAGCCAAAATAAAACCTTAATTTTTTGGCGAGGTTACTTCCCCCCCCCCTTGCTCTAAAAGGGGAGGGAACAAGAAAGAGAAATACTAAAATTTATGTTCAACATTAGCTCCAACAAGGCAGCAGCCAGGCTCCCCAAGCGCTATTTCAAGGTAAGGCAATTTTAGGTAAAACCACTGCATTATTTATGGTTGTCATCTCTGAAGCGAGTCTTGTTACATAAAATCCAACATAGCAGATTCCTAAAAGTCTTTTTTTTTAAAAAAAAATAACAGCTTTATATGCAGCTTCTAATTAGAATTACAGGGCCGTGTGTGTGTGTGTGTGTGTGTGTGTGTGTATGTGTGTGTGTGCGGGTGATGAGAGATAGACAGGGAGAAGAACAAGACAGAAAAAGAAAAGAAATACTGGAGAAGGCAGAGCTGCTGTCTCCCCCTGTTTGACAGCACACAGGCATCTAAACAGGCGCATTTACACATATGCCACCCAGCGGAGCTGCCCTAGGAGCAGCCAGGCTGCAGCAGAAACCTGCACAGCTGTGGCCAGCAGAAACCGGCTCTATGTCCCCCCATGGAGATGAGAATTTCTGGAAAGCCACCAAGCCTCCATCCACAAAGTCACAATGCAAAGGATCAGAGCAATCTAGGTGGGGGAGGGGCAGGCTGGGAGGGGCGCTGGTAGTGGAGAGAAAGGCCCAATCACCCTCTGAAACCATTTCCCCCTCTTAGAAGAGAAATCGGGGACTCTTAGAGACTCAACTTCCATCTCACTCCAGGCTTGGAAGAAACCCACACACATTAAGGGAAAAATAAATTCAGACAAGTTGCTAAGGAGACTTGTGTAAACTCCAAGCACAGACATATTTCTTGGCCTTTCCCCCTGTGCTCCATCTTGCATTCTGATCACGCTGCTCTGCGGCAACGTTGCACCAACCTTCTGCATTAATTTTGGCCTTCACCGTGCAGACTGGCAAAGCTCCCTGGTTGTATATATCATCATCTTTCAAATTTAACAAGTTAAAAGGGAGTGTGTGTGTGTGTGTGTGTGTGTGAGAGAGAGACAGAGAGAGAGAGAGAGAGAGACAGAAAGAGAGAGACAGAGACACTAGTTGGAAGGAGAGAGTGGGGGAACTTAATTTGGAATTTTCAAAACATAGGTGTTGAACAAAGAATACTTAGACTCTGCACTTAGAGGGGGGTGGAGAAAGGAGCAAGTAAAACACCTCTCACTGGAAATTTCCCTTTGCCTGTGGATTCTATCCTTTCTCCCAGTCCTCAGCCTTCTCACCCCCACCCCCACCACCTCCCCAGTTAAATCCTATATCCCGTGGAAGAGGCAAGCAGTGCCTGAATGACTGCGGATGCTGACACAGGGCTTCTCCAGGCTTCTGCAGAAAACAGTGCATTCCACAAAGAGGAACGGTGTTCCCATGCTTCCTGCTCAGGAGGGTCTCCCAGAGAGACTGGCTTTGTGAAACAAAACTGGAACGATTCATAAAACTCTCCACTGAGCCTGTCTAGATTCTAAACCAGCTCAAATTTTGGAGGCCAGGCTCCATGCCAGCATCCAAGCTCTGGAGCAGAGGACTTCTCCCAGAGTGACACATCTTCAGCAGCAGCTGACATATGTCAACATTTGATTTAGGGGGAAATTAACATTTTCTTTCAGGACAGAGATGTTTGTACTGTAGAAGCCAATATTTTCCTTTCTCAGCCTCCTGTCTTAGAATTTCTAAAATCTTGCCCAGGACAGAGAGGGGGTAGATTATAAATACCTGACACCATTGTTCAGGGTGTCAGGGCAGACCAAAGTCGCCTGTGTGTGTGTGTGTATGCTTGTGTTAGTATGCTTGTATGTTTATATGTTTATGTGTGCTCGTGTGTGTGTTGCCGATAGGTATTGTCCTGAGCAGATTAGGAAGACACACACCAGGTGGATGGCGAGCATTTGCTCAGTCCCTCCCCAGATTAGAAAAGCTCCCCAGGCCTGCCCCCTGCCATGCCAGAAGAGCTCCAGGGAGGGACAGACAACCACCTATGCTGCTATTTGAGTTGCCATGTTCAGGAATGGCCATGGGATACAGGATTGGTAAGGGAATGGGGAAAGTCTGTGCATTCAGGACACAAAACTGGATGTGTCTCTTCATACTCCAAGAAGGCTATGTAGCTTCCATCTCTTCCCTCCGCCAACCTTTATTTGGTTTTCACACTTCAAAGCTAAAGCAAGCTGTGCTGCCTCAGTGGAAATAAGGCAGCCGGGCAACTCTTCAGCTCGCAAGATGGAGATTTTGCTCCTGCCATTCACAGAGAAAGACGTAGCCCTGCAACCAGCCTGGCATGTCCATCCGTTACAAAGGACTCTAGGAGAGTGAGTCTGGAGTTAGGGAAGGGAGCTCACTGCAGTTCTTTATGACCTTTTTCCTACAAGGCACATCCTCAGATGTTTTGTGGCACTAAGCCATCATGACTCAATCAAAATGAAAAATGAACCTTGAGGGAGAAGAGCAGGGTGGGCCTACCCCAGCAGGCAACTGGGCAATTACCCTGTGACCTGGTTGGCCCGGGGGCAGGGGAGCGACACCTGCATTTTTTCATTTGTCCAGGAAGCTGCAGTAGCCCAAACCCCAGGAAATCCTGCCTACTGGCCTGTTTGTCCTGTCTGCTGGGAACGAGAGAACTGTCCTACCCTCGT